AATGTGTGGAAGCGGCTCTGGAGCCGATCAGACGTGCCGGGGTAAGAATATTGACCTATATAGACGATTGGTTAATACTGGCCCCATCCAGGGAAGTGGCCGTGAGCCACACGCAATGGGTCTTGTCCCACATACAGCGTCTGGGCTTTGTGGTGAACAGGGAGAAGAGCAAGCTGCAGCCAGCCCAACGCATGATTTACCTCGGTCTGCAGCTAGACTCTGTGATATTCCGTGCTGCATTGTCCGTGGACAGACGGACGAATATTACCCGTCTGGCCCGGGAGGTTCTGGCGGGCCCCAGAGTTCCCGCTCGGCGCCTCAGGTCCCTGCTGGGGATGATGGCAGCGGCTCATGCTGTGGTGCGGCTAGGCCTGCTCCACATGAGAAATTTTCAGAGGTGGTTCTCGCGCCTCAGGCTTCACCCCTCCCGGGACGGGGGGAGGCTGATCTGGGTTCCCCAAGGGGCAGCATCGGACATCAGGTTCTGGCTCACTCCGGGTCTACTGCGGGACGGAGTGACTCTGGCCTGCGCTGTGTCTCACGCCGAGGTGTTCACGGACGCGTCGCTCGAAGGATGGGGCGGGGTCCTCGCCAGAGCTCTGTAGGAGGCTGCTGGTCGGACTCAGCCCGTCACATCAACCTGCTGGAGATGGAGGCAGTGCACAGAGTACTGCTGCACTTTGCCCCTCAGCTGCAGGGGAGACACGTGATGGTGCGCTCAGACAACACCACAGTGGTCTCCTATCTGAACAGGCAGGGGGGCACCAGGTCCCCCGCTCTCCATCGCATGGCGACGGTGACGCTGCTGTGGGCGGCGCTTCACCTCCTGTCTCTCAGGGCGCGCCACGTCCCGGGGGTCCGGAACGTGGGAGCCGACAGGATGTCCAGGGGGGGCCCACTCCAGGACGAGTGGGGCCTGGCCCCACGGGTAGCCGCGGAGACCTGGCGGAGGTTCGGTCGTCCAGTAGTCGACCTTTTCGCCAGTGCAGAGAACGCACAGTGCCCGTCCTGGTTCGCCTTAAGGGCCGCGAACGAGCCGCCTTTAGGCGTGGACGCTCTGGCTCATTACCCATGGCCAGGCGGCCTGTTGTACGCTTTTCCACCGGTGCGTCTCCTGCCGGTCCTACTGCGGAGGATCGAACAGGAGAGGAGGTCGGTGATTCTGGTGGCTCCGGACAGCCCGCATGCCCGGTGGTTCCCCTTCCTGAGGGGCATGGCGGTGATGGAGCCCTGGGCCCTCCCGGACGAGCCGGGGGCTCTAGTCCAGGGGGCAGGAGCCCTGTTTTCACGTCCGATAATCGGCCGCAGGCTCTGGGTTTGGAGGTTGAGAGGCGGAGCCTCGTAGATCTGGGTCTTCCCCCTGCGGTGGTGGAGACAATTCAGGGAGCGAGGGCGCCGTCCACCGTGAGGGCCTACGCCACGAGGTGGAGGCTATTCAGTGCCTGGTGCGATTCCCGTTCCTGGGATCCCAGGTTTTGCCCGCTGGAGGGGGTCCTGGGATTCCTACAGGAGCTTTTCGACAAGGGGAGGGCTGTCGCTACCTTGGCGGTGTTTGCGGCAGCCATTACTTCGGGTCACGACGGGTTCGGGGGGTTCACAGCCCGCTCTCACCCGTTGATTAAACGTTTTCTGCGGGGGGCGCGCAGGAGGAGGCCCCCGCTCCAGAGAACGCCTCCGGTTTGGGACCTCAGGGTGGTCCTTAGGGGGCTGTCGGGTTCGCCTTTTGAACCGGCGGCGGAGGCGAGTCCCGATTGTATCGCTTTTAAGACGGCCCTCTTGCTGGCGTTGGCGTCTGCAAAAAGGGCGGGCGATTTGTGTGCGCTCTCAGTCCATGCGTCGTGCCTGTCCTTTGGAGAGGACGACGGCATGGTGGAGTTGTGGCCCAATCCGGCTTTTCTCCCCAAGGTCATCACGTCGGCCTTTAGGTCGAGAGTGATCAGGATTAGGGCTTTCCACCCGCCGCCGCATGCCTCCCCCGAGGAGGAGCGGCAGCACCTTCTGTGTCCTATCAGAATGCTGAGGCATTACCTGGCCATGACGTCGTCATTCAGGTCGGGTGATCAGCTGTTTGTGTGTCTGGGCCCCAAGAACAGGGGCGCCCCGCTGTCGGCTCAGCGGCTGGCGCATTGGGTCGCCACGGCGGTGCGACGGGCGTATCAGGCGCAGGGCCTGGCCCCCCCGGTGGGTTTCAGGTCGCATTCCACGCGTGGGATAGCGGCCTCTACGGCCCTTCTCAGGGGGGCGTCGGTCGAGGACGTTTGCCGTGCGGCTTCTTGGGCGTCGTCCTCCTCTTTCGTCCGGTCTTATCTTTCGGATGTGTCGGACCGGTCGGTGGCCCATTCCGTGCTGAGTGCAGCGGATTGAGTTGGACCGTTGGGTCCCTCCCCTGAGGAGTGGGCCTTCGGTCTATTTTTCCGCCCTGGTGCAGGAGCTCTTGGGAGAGGCATCCTACAGGTGCGGTACATATATGTGTGTTTGATCGGTCTGGTAGTCTACATCAGGAGCTCTTGGGAGAGGCGTCCTGTGACTACGGTTGACCTACGATCGGTGTTACGTGGGGGCGTCCTTGGTAGGAGTGGCCCGGTAACACGCTTTGTTTCTTCTGCCCTGAGTCCTCTCACGGTGTGAGGGTCTTGCTCGGGCGGAGCTCCAATCACCCTTCGCTGGCCTGCTGGGAGTACATGTTCCTACGGCCTCCGCGTTGTGTCCCACTAGCGAAGTCCTAAGGGACGTAGCACCATGACGTAGAATTAATAGTTACCTAATGTAACTTAAGTTCTACGAATAGGTGCGTAGTCCCTTAGCTACGAGCCCATCAGGCCAGCCCGGCTTGGCAGAGTTCAAGAGGGGGTGCGGCCTTGTGCAGGGGCATTTATAGAGGAAGGTGGCTGGTGATTGGAGCAAATTATTTTTGATCTCTCTGGCGTCTGTGACCTGGGGGTCACGTGATATCCCACTAGCGAAGTCCTAAGGGACTACGCACCTATTCGTAGAACTTAAGTTACATTAGGTAACTATTAATTATTTATGTCGCCTTTAAAACATAAAACTTAACTCTACTTTTTATATTAGAGTGATTGTTTTCTAGTGCTTCAGTTGTTTTGCAAAGTTGAAACTGTTATATACTTGTGTTTTGGTCGACTAATCGATCAAGCAGACCAGTCTTAAATCAACAAAGCATTTCTTTGACTACAGCCCTAAAAACAGTTGGTAATTGAAGATTGTCAAGCATTTAAAGAACAATAGTTTTGGGCTGTATTTGGTATATAGAAATAACACCAGTTAACCCTACAATAGATGACCATAATTGGTGCATGTGTGCATTTTAAACACAGGCCATGTTGAGTGCCTGTTGAGTGCCTCTTGATGTGGTCCTATAAAAACCAAAAACACATCTGGTCTGTATTATGTCAGTTTAATTCCCTCTCTGATATGGCACAATCCTTCCTATAGCGTCTGTGTTCCAGCTCAGTGTGACTACCATATTCCTGGGCGTCTTGCCTTAGGCTCTTTTCTTTTTTCCCCTTCATCATTAGCTTGGATGCCTGACAAGCGTGTGAGCCATAGCACGGATCTCTTTGACTAAAACCTTGTAAATTAACACAATTAGTGCAGCATCATCCCGCTAATTAGCTGGCGGCGTGGTGTGTGGCGGCTGGGAGGCAGTAAGGAGGGAGTCCAGGGCTTGTGAGGAGAGCTGGGTTTGTAATAGGCCCACGGACAATAGCTGTTTGTTGCCGAGGCTTAACCCGCTGGAAGAGAGACAATGAAGAGCAGTTAGAATGAAGACATAGGAAAGTTCGGAGGGCGGGAATTGCACAAACTGAAAAATATTGTTAGCGCTAATATAGCTTTAATAGCACAGGACCGAGGGAATTGGGAAACGATTCAACCTATTTAGTTTTTTTTCACAATAGCAATATTCAAGATGACCATAAATGTAACTAACATTAAGTTTTAAAATATACAAAGTATAATAATAAATGTTTGTCATAATGTTAGATGTGATTTAGAGTTATCTCAGTGGGACCTCCCTTTTGTCTGGAGACATAATGGACACCTGGATTGAAAAATACTTGTTGTATACTGCGAGGAAAAAATATCCTGTTAATGCTATAATGGCTGAAATGTCATAAAAAATGAGATATTTTTGGATCTATGTTTTGAGTGCGCAAACCATTCTTGCTCTTCATTTTTTTATATGCACACTACATTTCAGAATTGATTTGTTCCGAATACGCTTACATTTTCATAATAGTTAAACATCTTATTTCTGAATGCAGCAATATCGGTCTTGATGGCCCTGAAGCAACTGTAGCTGCTAAAAGACCAGTGCATCCCTCCTTCTCTCTCTCTCTCTGCAGCGGCGGTGGACTGTGCGGGATGTAATTCATGCTGGGCTCAGGCGCTGGTGTGATGAAGGCACCGGAGCACTGCCAGGAAGATTGCTTTGGCTCCGTCTCCGGTGCTACGTGTGTGTGTGTGTGTGTGTGTGCGTATGCAGGATTATGGACTGACCTGCCATGCCTGTGTCATCCCGCTCAGCACTGGAGAATTACAGCCTAACCAGGTGTAGCTTTCACTGCCAACTGTACACAGAGACTGGTTAGGCATCTGACATAGATCTATGGATAACAACATTATGGAGACAAGAGGAAATAGTATGTTTGTACAGAGATAATGAACACTTTTTATGTTAAACCCCAACGGAGATTGCCGCTATTGACTTAAACTATTGGCTCCACTCTCAACTGTCCATTCTATTTATTTTCTCTCTTAAATAAATAAAAGAAATGTCTTTCACCTATGTAGACTTTTAATTATAAGACAAAGTTGTATTTTGTCCTTTACCTGCATTATATGTTGGAATCTTCGACAAAGTGACGACAGTTTTAAATAATTGTGTTATGTGTTAAGTGGAATGTGCTTTGTGATGCTAACCACACATGTCGTTGCCTCCTCAGTATTGCTAACATGTTATGTGTGCCACAGGTGTGAAGATGCAGTGGACCCCAGAGCACACACAGTGGGCAGAGCAGCACTTCGACATCTCCTCCACCACCCGCTCCCCCGCACACAAAGTGGAGTCGTACCGTGGACACCTGCAGAGGACCTATCAGTACGCCTGGGCCAACGACGACATCTCTGCTCTAACTGCTTCCAACCTGCTGAAGAAGTACGCTGAGAAGTACTCTGGGATTCTGGAGGGGCCTGCCGAGAGGGCCCTGCTGTGCTCATACTCCGAGAGTTCCACTGGACTCATGAACAGCCGCAAGTCTGAGAATGAATCTTGGCAGGAGGGGATTTACCCAATGAACTGTGCTCCAGATGTTATATCTGTGAGCAAAGCTGGAATGACAGCTGCCCTCCCCCCCGCTGAGGTGTCTGTGAGTATGGGAAGCTCCCCAGGGGTGGTCAGCAGTCTGTCAGAGCCCTGCTACTCCAGCACTAACTGTGGCAGTCACACAGCCACCACACTGCACTCAGCCCTGGCCTCTCAAGAGTACAGCTACAGTGGCTCCTACCTGCACTCCTACAGCGGGCAGAGTACCCCGGCACTGGCCTCCCCTCACCCCTCTCCTCTGCACAGTGCAGGACTGCTACAAGCCCCACCCCCTTCTTTAGTCCCCAGCTACAATGCTGGCTCGCCGAACTACAATTACCCATCAGCAGGCTATTCCTCTCAGAGTACAGTGGGTCCTGGGTACAGCCCTGGGAGTGTACCCCCTCCTTCCTATCTGCCGTCCAGTTTAGCAGCACCCACACCCATCCCTCCGTCCACCCTGCCCGGTTACACATACCCCTCCCACACCCACACTCCCATCACACCCGCCCCTCTGAACGGCAGCACATCGGGCTCATTAAAGCGAAAGGCTTTCTACATGAGCGGACATGGAGATGTGGACTCCAGCTATGGTTCTTTCTACAGTCAGCAGCGCTCAGCACACAGCCCTATGTACAGGGCCCCTGACAGCAGTGTTCCGGACTCCACTCGAGCTAACGCCTTTGACAGGAACACGAGCAAACAGGCTGATGCTCACAGGAAGTGCAGTGCAGCTCCAGGCAGAGCGATCACTCCGCCCTCTTATGGATGCAGCAAAGACTCAAGCTCAGAGCAGAGATCTGAGGCCTACAGCTCTGAACTGGGATCTGCCTCCTCCTCCATCCACGCTGCAGAGGAGCAGCTGAAGAACAGTGACACCAGTCTGGTGGAGCTGGTAAGCACAGAGGTGCTGCAGCCGGGGCCCCCAGTGGACTGGAGTGACATTGCAGGTTTGGAGATGGTTAAAAGCACCATTAAAGAAGAAATCCTGTGGCCCCTGCTTAGGCCAGACATGTTCAGTGGATTGAGCACATTACCTCGCAGCCTGCTGCTGTTTGGACCTCGAGGGACAGGCAGGACTCTCCTGGCCCGCTGTATGGCGAGCCAGCTGGGGGCAGTGTTCCTGCGCCTCAGTGCTTCAGCTCTGGTCACTAAGTGGTTAAGTGAAGGGGAGAAGATGGTGCAGGCCTCCTTCCTGATGGCGCGGTGTCGGCAGCCGACAGTGCTCTTTATCAGTGACATCGAGCTGCTGCTTTCGCCTCAGCTCAGTGACGACAGTCCAGTCAAATGTGTGAAGACAGAACTGCTCATGCAGATGGACAGTGTGCTGAGCTCTGCTGAGGACCATGTTCTCGTAGTGTGCTCCACCAGTAAACCTGAGGAGATCCCTGACAGTCTGCGGCGATACTTCACTAAGAGATTGCTGGTGCCTCTGCCTGATGGCTCCGCCCGACACCACATCATCAGCACACTGCTGGCTCAGCACAACTACTGTCTGAGTGACAAGGAGCAGGCACTGCTGGTGCAGAGGACAGAGGGCTTCTCGGGACTGGACGTGGCTCAGCTCTGTCATGAGGCTGTGCTCGCTGCCTCTGAACTCTCCAACATGCACCCCAGCCAAATGAGAGCCGTGGCCTACCAGGACTTTGAAAATGTCTTTTGCAAGTTTACACCTAACATATCTCAGAAAGAACTGGACATGTACACAGAGTGGAACAAAATGTTTGGCTGTAGTCAATGAAAAACATCTTGAATAGTAATTTGAGAAGGATCATTGTCAAAAACCTGTTTATGAAAACAGGCACTGGTCACACGGACAGTACAGCGAAGTGAATGTCATTGTCTGCTTTAGTCAAAGAACAATATTCTACTCTGAATATGAAATGCTTTATATTGCTGAGGCCATGGACCTAATATGGCTTGGTATTAATGCGCCTGTTTTGTATATAGTAATATAAATAGAAACATATAACATTCTACTGATTTTGAGATGTAGAGGCGAACAAGTGCCTAAGGTGGTGCTGATTTGTGATATTTTATAAAACAAAGCTTTAAAAATAACTTCTCTCCTCATTGAATCAGTGTTCTTCAGTGTTCTTAGTGCTGTGTTCACAGTTGTGATTTTGGCTTATTTAATTTCACAGTAATTATTTAATTTCAACACAACATGTCACAAAAATAAAGACACACAAAACATCTATGACATCATTTGTGGCTTTGACACAGCATCAGACTTTCTATCGCCACATGATAGGATGACCATACGGACTACGTTTTCAAAATAAAAATAAAACATTCACAACTGAATTTGGTGGGGCTTGATATTCTTTTGTGAATATTGTTGAATTAAGCACAATATTTTGGTTTGTATACACACCGCTCGATTTATTTCGCAATATTTTCTAATCCTAATGACTTTTGCATCTCTTCCCCCAATTACTTTCAAGCTCGCTGGTCGCTATATTTTAGCAAACCAAAATGACAATATAGGAACAGATGGGACAAATGTACACATTTTTAATACATCTGATGGGACGTGAGACACACGTGGGGGATATTGATGGCTGGCATCCGAGATTTATTTTCCAATGCGAGGCCGAATAATACTATTTCAATCCCCGTTCTGTTCTGATACTGGCACCAATACCAACAGTAATTTCTGAATGAGAATCCTCAATCAACATTAATATATATAATGCTATTCAAAATCAATCCGCTCATCACCAATAGGCCATGAATCATCTCAAAGTACTAAGACGTTTTACTTTCAGGGAATGCATCTCAAAGGTTGTAGTCGTACAATGTAAGAAAGGAAAAACGCATAAGAACATTATAACAGATGAGAGATTAAAAGACAAAAATGCCCATATCTTACATTTAACCCTCAAGGCAGATTTGTGCCGTAATTCACAACGTTTTACCAGTGTGGCGGCTGCTCCACAGACCGCGGAGCTCAGTGTGGCCAAAGGTGCAGACAAACATCCGTGGTGGAGGCATATGTAGCTGCGAGCGCTGTCCTTTCTCCGCGTTCTGTTTTATCACTAATGAAAGCGCAGGATTACACAGCTCTTCTGTCCTGCATCTGTGAATTATCTCCAAAAGGCAATTTTACACAGAGCCAAAAGTCAGCTCCACTCTGGGCGTGTTTATGAGGACACCAAACTTACAGCAGCGGAAAGGCCTTCTCTGCGGTCTCAGCTTAAAGAAGAAGGCTTTTACTGTGCTTTTGTCTGCTATAAACTGTACAGTATATGACTCTCGAGTGTCATTACACAGTTTGAACATTTGAGATTTTAGTATTGCTGTAAAACAACTGGATATAACGCACAAGGTCACACACTTCTGTATTAGAAATGCCTCTGTTGACAGGTGCTGTGTGCACTTTGTACTGTCATAACACGATGACAACAGCAACAAGCAACAGTTTAAATTGATTCTTCATTAATATATAAAATAAATAACAGAAAAACACACGCACAAACACGTCCAAGGTTTCTTCAAATCCATCGCAAAATTCCATGTATGTGTATAATAAGAACAGTGGCAGTGAAAATAAGGATTGTAGTAGCAATTTAAATACAGAACAGAATACTCAAAAGGGTGAAAGTGTAGAGAACACAATTTTAATATGGTTCTTGAAAGTCAATTCTGAATAATATCTGCTCACTCGAATCTGAAAAAATTAAACGTAAAAGGCATTAGAGCAGTTGTGTGATGTCAATTGGAAGTCGGGACTCACTAGTTTTACATGATACTTCTAAAAGTAGTGGGTTGAGGCGTCCTGAATCACCCTTCCCACATTGTTCAAGTAAAAATACTAGTCTAAAGCATTTACTGTATGTGCATAAGTATACTGAATATGTAATCACTCAAAGCCACAGACTGTAGCACACGTTTCATTGTATGTTTTGAACTTCGGAGTTTCAATCTACAGTATTTATCTTGATCTTGTAATTTCTTTCTGTCTGGTGTTCAGAACAGTACAAGTTCTCCTCTTTCCGCGTAATTGTGAACGTAGTTGCAACTAAACCACAAAATCCGCACTATGAAATACTGAAGGATAAACGCTGAAAAGTTGTATTTAAGCACTGTTTGTTATCTCCCAAATCCTGTTTTGGTGAAGAGGAATGTGTGAAATTACATTCAGATGTATCACACAAAGGGAAAAGGTCCTTTAAAACAGAGAATTAGTGCAGCTATTTGGAGAATATTTTCCCACTTCTCTATTTAAATCCAAAATGAAAAGCTTTTTATTGCATATTTATTAAGAGATGCGAAAAACGTTTATTCGCCCAAGGATCTAAAACAGGCTGTCGACCTTGTTAACACAATGAGAGGCATGCATGGACACACAAACTTTTTTTTTTTTTTTTTTTACATTAGCGTTTGCCTTCTTTGTGTTTTTGCTGTTACTGAAGTCTTGTAAGAAATAAAAAAAAATCACAAAAGATGAATAATTTTGAGATAAACAACGAGCCAAAAGCATTTTAAATTCACATACAATCACAACGGATCAACATTCTGTATAGACTGTATCTGTATAAACCATGAAAGAGGTCCAAATGTGTCCAGAAGCCACACAGAGGAGAGGTTACATGCCAAGTTATTCATAATGCTGCCAAAAAGTACAAAATATCTTTAGCCAAGGCCTGGAACTTTGGGCCAAAAGTAAGTAATAACCACATTTGAAAAGAGATTTTTTTAGCAGCTGCTTTTATCTTGTCAGATTTGGACATAAAAGATATTAAAACCATGTAAAGTGTTGAGAGATTTGAAAATGTTGTAATCATATTAGACCGACTCCCTCGAAATAGGCATGAAACTGACTTGTGATCTATTCAATTCAATATAGTTTTGACTTTACACAAAAATCATGAGACATTCATTTTAATGTTGTTTATCTGAGTAACGTTTAGTAGAATTTTATAAAACATCACTCAAAAAATATTGCTTGTTTAAAAAAAATAGATGTATAATCAGACCTATTGCAGTGTTTACAGACTTATCACAAAGCCTATGCCATGTTAATTTGTTTTGCCATTTCAGATTAGTTTATAATGAACAATACAAGGAATTAGTTGGAAACACAAGCGTCGGTCAAGCTGATGACGCGCTTACCTTGCATTTCAAAGCACATAGGAAAAAGAACTGCAACGCCAAGTCCTACTGTAACACCTCCACATAATTGGAACCATATTGTGTTGGAAGCCTTTTTCATAACCATTTCTACCTCATTGATTGTACAGTGAGTTCTGTCATTTTGAATGTTTGAATAAAAACAAAAGTGGATAAAAGAAAGAAGAAGAAGCAAGAATGAGAGTATGCCCTTGGGACGGAGCAGTCTACCTCAAAAAGACTGTCTTGACACTGGCAGTGAGTCAAACAAATGGAGGCACCTTGAACAGACACTCGTTCACACACTGCATTCGCAAAGTCCAAGAATCGCTTTAATAAGAATCCTCAACGGTCAACGCAGATCCGACTTATTCCCCACAAGCCCGGTTTGTACTTTTCTTATCATGCGTGTAAAAAGGTCCCGACCTGCACATAGATGTAATTAATGTACATTTGTTGCGGCTGTACATCGGCCGTGGAAAGCACCATGTTTTTATGTGTGTGTGTGTCGCCCAACAGTACGGTCAGTTGATGTATAACGTTTTACGGCATAGGAAAAGAAAACAAAAAAGTTCTGGAAGTTTTTTTGGATGCGTTTTGTACTTGAATAAATTTGCAATGGTGTGGATTAAGTTTGGAGTGTGTTTCTTGTCTGAAAAGCAGCCGCCATTATTTAGCGCACATCAGTTTTAGGGTCAGTGGCAAAATACTCCCTGGGAAATCAGCTGATTGCGGAGAATATGTTATGGACATTTTCAATCAGCTCAATCATGGGTTTTTAATCATGTTCCCTCCTCTTCAGAAGATATGTAATAATAATCATTCTTATTGGAGTGATGGCGAGCTATAAAAGCTGCACAAAGCAGTCTTTGATTTGGCAGGTCACACGAGCCCCGAAAACTGGCCATAACTCATCTCTCTTCTCACACACATTAGACCTGAGCGGTGCTACTTTGACAACTTCCTTTTACAATCACATGTGAGACAATCCCATTCTCTATGTCATGTCCATGCCCACAGTTTGAGTCTGCAGCTCTCCTCCTCTTACTCTACTATATTTTCAGTTTAAAAGCACACTGGTTTACTTTTGCAAAACAATGCCCATTGCGCAAAAGAGACAACATACTGTAAATAAATAAAAATAAAACGCACAAGGAGATAAAACAATGTATAACATGTAACATATGTACGCACTTAAAGCAAAACAGATCAGCCTTAAACCAACCCGCCCGTGGGAAGGAACTTTTAGTGCTGCGACGTCCTGCATCTCAACGAATTGGAAGAAGCTGGAACATTGCCATTGACCAGAGACCAGTCACTTTTGCACAGCAGACCAATTATATTTTATGGGTTCTGAAATGTCACTCTTTTTCCTGTAAATGAACATTTGTTGTAAAACGTCACAGACTTACAGAATTTAAAATCAAATTCTGCTAAAATGTCCATCAGACCAATTTGATCAATGCAATGTGTAGAAGTGAGCTAAAGCTAATATTCTACATTCTTACATTTCAATAAAAGGATTGTTGTGGATGAGCATGCCCCTAAAGTTGCTTCCATAAAAACCCACTGACACTATTATTATTAGTGCACTTTTGGTAAACAGCATACATGCCTGCTTCATTT